ACTTCCAGACCATTTTGAAAACCTGAATGGAAAGAGAATGTTCCAAACACAAAAGGCTTTTGTATGATTCTTCCTCCTGTAGAGAAAGACCCCCTTTCTGTAGCCACAGCCCCCCACACACAGTGCTTTGGGGATTCTGGGCAGTTAGTGCCTTTTCTTCTTCCACTGTCCCATGTGTTCATGTTTCCTGCCCTGTAACTACCTATACCTGCAACACACACAGTTGTGTGGTGAGCACTTCCACATTCCCAATCTTTAAACCCTTGGGCTGGCAGCCTCCACACACTCTAAGGCATGTTGCCCAGGCTGGTGAGCTCTGTAGAACTTCAAAGTGCACTGTTTCCACATGAATGAGGTTCACACTCTCTTCCCAAAGCTCAAGTGGAGAGAGAAAATGCACTACTATTTGGTCCTCAGGGAAAGCGAACAAAATGTCATAGATCCCTGGGCAGAACTTTCACTTTACAATTGTGATATCACTTACTAGAACTGTCCTTCCACACTTTCTAAAATGCAGACACTCTCACATGCCCTTAGGTAATGGCAGCTATGTGTGTGCGTGTGCCATTTGTACTGATACTGTTCTCTAGGTAATGGCATTTGCCTTCTCATTCTCCCTATTAGTCTGTAAACCCTGAAAAGTAAGGAATTACATCCTTTTCTTTCTTTGCAATTCCCCCGTGCCCAGTTCAGTGTCGCTCTGTGCCTGCCTGGTATTCAATAAACACTGCTGGCAAGGCAAACTGAGTTTTAATTCTTAGTAGTTAGAAATGAGAGACTCCCTATACTCATGATCAAAGGAGTTTTTTTGCTTTTGTTTTTGTTTTTTGCAGCACTAGGGTTCGAACTCAAGGCTTCACACTTGCTAGGAAGGCACTCTACCACTTGAGCCAGGCCTCCAGTCCCTGAAGGATTAAAAGAAAAAAAGATTTCTTGGATTCAATGTGTCTAGAGTACCACAGGAAAGAGACAAACAGAGGCGAGAGCCTCAGAGATGAAGAGAGCCTGAGGAGGGAAAGAATTAAGATATGCCCAGATGAGGAAAAGTTCCCAGAACCAGGTAAAAAAAAGCTCCAGACCCACAAAAAGACAGTCCAACACACAAGGATCCATGGAATACCTTCCAGGTTTTACATATATACATATATATATATATTCACCCACTTTCAAATACTGCAGCTAATATTCTGGTTCAAGACTTTGTGATTTCAGGGGCTTTAGCCCATGGCACAGCTGTAGGGTCACTCATATGCTCCAGAATGTGCCCACTCTCAATAAGATAAGTGTAATAGTTCAGGCCTCAAAATGCACAACCTGCACCTTCATGCTGGTCCTTGGAACTCTTGCCACCCTTGATGGCTCTGCCAAAGCCTTTCCTTCCAAATGGTCAACTTGTCATGAAGCCAGGCCTTAATAAAGGGACTGTTCACGTGTGAGTCTGACAGCTGTTACTCAAATGTTGGCTCTCTGTTCTACTAGGGAGAAGAGGTGCTATGTGGCAGAAACCCCATGCACTGAGAGCTAAAGGGTCTGAACAGATCTTGGCATACTCCAAGGTGTCAGCGTCTTTGTATAAGGAGACCGACAGTCTCTGCCTATCTCATTGACTAAAGAGAGGCTCCCATGGAACATGGAGTCAAATGGGCACTGTTGAGTGGCAGCAGTAAGAGCTGGTGGTCACCCAGTGTGCAGCAAGGCTTCCCTCTAGACTCACAATTCTCTGCAACTGGCATTTCTTGGGGAGAACAACACGACTAGAAAGATAAATTCCTTCCTGTGCAGTAAGTCTTTGAAATTTTTTTGACTCTTTAAAAACGATTATGAAAATAAAATTGTCTTCCCTGTTGGGTTGTAAAGTAATCAGATCAAGTTAATTAGGCAATGTACCTTGGTGATTAAGATCAACAGTTTTGAAGTGGCAAAGACCCATGCTTGAATGCCAGCTCCCTCATGTACTGGCTGCACAGTGTGGACAAGCTACTTAGCCTTTAGAAGTCTAGATTTGCTCATCAGCAAGATGGGATTGACAGCAGTAAAGGAATATTATGAAGATCAAATGACACTTTGGTAAGAGCCTGATACGTACAAAGTCGGCTCTCAAAATTAACAGCAATTATCAGTATTGTTTAGTATTTCTTCACATTATTTGAGATTCAGTTTACACAAACACAGCTAAGAATACGCAAATAACCAAAATAATAGCTGAACAACCAAAACAGTTGTAGGTGTACATGTCCCAACTGGACACTATTCATAGAGTCACCACTTACTTATGGTGACTCTATACACAACTACAGCAGCATTAATTGACACTTAACTGACTGCTGGGCACTTTCTTAATTATGTCAGATTAGTTATGCCAAATTCTCAAAGTTCCCTGAGGAAAGCATTGTCACCACCCCCACTTTACAGATGAGGAAAGTGGGGCTAATAAAGGTGAAGCAACTTGCCTCATTGCTTCCATGATCAGCTTGCCTCGCAGCAGGCTAGAAAAAGAATGAAGGGTGCTGGGAGAGCTGCAGTGTCATGTACCCAAGAGTGACAGGCTCACTGACAGCCAGTGGATTAACAGTAGGAGAGGAAATGGAAAGGGGTAAAAATCTTATAAAGAAAGACTTTCTTATCACTGCTGCCTGCACCCACTCACTGTTGGAGGTCAGAACACCCTAATAATATTAGTAAATCTGAAATAGCACACGATATCACAGCACAGTGCAAAATCATCACTACACCATTGAGAAAACTCAAATTATGCTTGGGAAGTCAGGCAGATGGGAGTGGGTGACATATTAAAGGGGTAGAGTCTCTTGGGACAGTTCAGCTATGTTGAATATTCTCCAGTAATATTATATGGAAGCCCTGACATTTAAAAAGATGATACACAATTATACAATTAAAGTAAGAATTAAGGAAATGCCAATACCTAGACATAAGTAGATAACTTTCTCATGAATCTTTGCCTCTTATTTTAATCCACTATATTAAAAAAAAAAGATAGTATCTTGCTCTGCTGCCCAAGTTGATCTCTAACTCTTGGGCTCAACCAATTCTCCTATGTGAGCCTCCTGAGTACCTGGAATTACAGGCACATACCACCATGCCTGGCTCACTGCTCACTTTAACCTAGCTTCTATCTAGTCTTGAGAAAAGTGATTCTTTAGTCCACTCTATACCTCTTGGTTTAGAGTCCTGGCTTTCATACATTTAGAAAGTGTTGCATTTAAAGGCTCATAAACTAATTCCATCAGATAATTCAAAGGAATATGTATTGAAAATAAAGATGTAATAATTATTAAATAAAACAGAGGAAAAAGGCATTAAGTAGTCTGGCAAGGCAACTGTTAGCCTGGGTTTTCAGCTTCTTTCCTGGGCCAGAGCTAGGCGGGCAGCAGAAAAAGGACACCTGCTAAGTGATGAAACATGTTTTATTGTTGCCTCTTGAAGTTAGATTTTTTTAAGTCTATCCATATCATATTGCCTAGGCTCCATAAAAACTGTTTCCCAAGTCCTCCAATGAATATTATCAGAACTTGACTGCTTGGAACACATTTAAAACAAATTTGAAAAGATTTTAAAAAGGGCACTTCAAACTGATAAAATCATCACAATGGAATCTTTAAACTATCCTCTATTTCTGGTTATCTGATTGGGAAGAAACCTGGGGAGAACTAGGAAAGGGGCCCCTTTTATTACAGCCCACACTCACTTTGGCCCACTACCACTGTCCAGACAGTGGAAAAACTATTCCCACTGGAAACTAAAGGTAGGATGCCAGATTTAGCCAACAGAGGCACCAGACACTCAGTTCTATTTGAATTTAAGATAAAATATAAGTAAGTTCCATACAATATTTAGGACATATTCCTGTTGAAAAATTATTGTTAATCTGAAATTCAAGTTTAACTGGGTATCCTGTATTTTATCTAACACCTCTACCCTTGGCTCCAGTCCCCTGTGGAATTTGATATGGGTGAGAGAAGGGCGTTCTAATGACTAACTTAGGATGGGAGAACTAATGGCACAGGCTTGGGGTTCTGCCTCTCTCCCACCTCTTCCCCAACTTTCTTCAAGGAGGCTCCATGGCTCCAGCTAATCTCACTCCAAGTCCATCCTTTCTTTCAGAACTACATGGCTTCTCTGAATCCTCTGAGCATCACCATCCACAGCAACTTCCCACCTTGACCTCCTCCTACGGAGGCCACACTTCAGAGCTGTGTAAACTCTGTGAGAACTGGTTGGCTTTCACATTCTATTGCTTTTTATTTTGTTTCTTTCCCTGCAAATAGGTTTGGAGGAGCTCTTGATGGGATGTTTCCTTTTTCCTCCTTCCCCCAGAGAGACCTCCTCCCACTCACTTATTCAGTAACTGAAAAGCACAGCAAACATCATTTCCAGACCTGAGTTAAAGCTAGGGCTGAATAGCAGGACACTGCCTTGATTCTGGCAATGGATGTCCTGTCCCCTCACTATCTCATGCCTCTGATTAGTGGTCCTTAGTGATCCACACTCGGTAATCATACAGATTTCATAAAAATGGAGAAGAAAGAGCTCTTGCTTTCAGGATTCCAAGGATGTGCTTGCAGCAAAACCTTTATAGCTAAGCTATAAAAGGCATGGGAATATGGCGGAGACATTGACACAACAATAAAACAAGGGGTGAGATTAATGACGCCATAATGCAATCTGTTTTCATTTGGTGCAGAGAAAATTAATTTCTGAAGGCATTTCATTTAATGAAATATTTTGTAGCTTAACCTTTGATGCTTGCAACATTTTCTTTTGTACACTGTTCTCCCCTTTAAGGAGAGATGGTGGAAGCAAGTTTTACATCTCATTAGTATGGCTTCATGGCAGGTGATCTCTGCTCTGGACAGAGAAATGAAAGGTGTGGTCAGGGAACTAAAGTTATTGCTGACCATAATTTGCAGCTCTTTACTTCCTACCAAAACATCCATGTTAATAATTCAACAGGCAACTTCTGAAAGGCTAGTATGTGTTACCTTCCAGAGCAAGGCACCGGGGTGGGCTGGACGACCAGATAAGGTTGTGTAAGCACTCAAGATACTCTGACCCCTCGAGTTTAAATCCAGGGAAGCAGCGATAGGCAATCACAGTCCCCACTGGGAAGGAGGTCTGGAACTCAGAGATGTTCACATAGCCATTGGAAGAGGCTAGAGGTCTCAGGCAGCCTGTCAAATGTGAAAGAAAGAGGAAAGGTTTCGCTGGGTCATCGTTGAACACCCAAAAGCCAAACAGAATGCCAAAAGTCTTCAAGATTGCCCAACTGCAAAAAAAGGAATCATGCTGATGAAGGAAGCACTTTGGTCTTCCAGGCTCAGACTTCTTATTCTACTAGTTTATCTGTTTAGAAGGCAGATGTTCGCTTGTGTATTTGCAAATGGCACCAAGAAGGTCAGAGGAGGAGTTAGGAGTTAGGAGGGTAGTGAGTGCGTGAGATGGACTGGCAAAGCCTTAGCCAGGAGGTTCTGGGCCTGACTGCCTTCAGCATCACCTGAGGGGCTTTAGAAAACACTAATGCCCAGGCCCCAAGCCTGGAGTCTGGGGAGAGCCAGAGGATCACAATGTTTTTGTAAAGTTCCCCAGGTCATGCTAGTGTGCTGTTGGGGCTAAGAACCACTGAGGTACCCTAGGAGGAAAGAGAAACTCCAATGGCTTCAGTGGTGGTGCGGTGGTGGCTTGGGCAGGTTATCTTTCAAACTCAATTCCACTGAGGAAGGGGAATTCCTGCCTGAACCAGGGCCATTAAACTTTTGAGAATCCAGTTGGGTTTCATGTGAAATACGCAAGGAATCCCACAGTGGACTCATTCTCACATTTGAGAATGACTCAGAGGGCTTTGGTGGACACAGCCTGCTAGGCTTCTGCTGGGCTTCTGTATCAACATCCAGGTACTGCTGCTGCTGGTTCTGGTGGTCTAGGAAGCGCTCTCAGAGAAGCCCTGGCTATGTAGTGGTCCATGCATCAAGCATAGAATTCTGCATACTGTCAGAATGGAAATAAGGTCAGGATCCTACATTCCGAAATCTAAGGCTTTCGTTGCCACTTAATCCTCAAGCCTGCACAGATAAACATTCCCAATGACATCAAATTCTGTAGTGTGCAGGATCCCCTATGCCTGCAGAATTTCTTACTGACTTTGGTAATGTCACTGGAGGGCATAATGACATTACAGAGGTAGTGCTCTTCCAGGGAAGAACTAATTGTGTGTGAAGTAAATAAAGAATAATGAAAGTATCTGCTTTCTCTTCCCATCATCAAATACAGATCATATGTATTTCAAGCACAATGGCAGACCACTGAACCCTTCCCCAGAGCTGACTTTGTTAGATAACTTCAAGTGTCTTAAAGGGATCTTTTCAGCAAATTACTTACTCTGCACCCCAGTATTTGGTGTCTGGGCATCAGTGCAAGTGAGGAGAGACAAGTGAGACACCAAAGGTGCAGAGCTTAGGCAAGCACTCATGCAGGGGTTGTGCAGTGCCCAGTGTGTACTACTGTGCCCTAGGGCTGCAAGGCTCTACATTCCCAGAAGGCCCCAGTCCTGAATCAGCCAATATTCAGGATGGACCAGACCTGAAAAGTTGGAGATCAGCCATTTTTTTAGATACTGTCATGGCCTTAGATTTTTGTTTCCAGAGCTGAAAAGTGCCAATGTTCATAGCAGAAGTGAAGTGAGGTGGGAATCAGGAATAAATAGAATCAGCTCCTTCCTAGGTTCTAAGCCACCTGTATGAGGATACTAGCTTATCCCAAATAAAAACTAACTCTGACCCATAGTGAACAGGAGGTATACAGACCCTCCTAAAAGTAGTCCCACCCCCAGGAGATGACATGGGTTAAAATGTATGCATCTAATCACAGCTGAGAGGGAAAAATATGGTCATTCTTGATTGGAGACAGCCTGCCTGTCCTACGTGTAACAGATGAAAATAGGCTTCAACTTAATAGTTCAGTGGGATTTCCATTTGCACTTCTAGGTTATAGAGAAAAGCCTCCTCGGGCTTTGGCCCCTGGATACATAGGTGCAAATAAAAGTTACAGAATGAAATGTCACTCTAAGGACTAATTATATTCCCTCAGGGGGCTTGGAGAGGTGTCAGAATGTCTAAGGCAACACTGATTCCTAATTTCCTGTGCCGTGCCAAACAGGTGACCAGGAGGAAGCTGGTGCAGTGGTAGCTGGGAGATACAAGGTGGGGCAGGGCGGTACATGCCACGATACCTCCTCTGTGGATGTAGGGCCCTGAGGAACAATGAGAGAGATCGTTTCAAGAGGCACACCTCTTAAAAGTAGTCAGCTAGAGGCTGGGGGTTTTGCTAAATAGAAGAACACTTGCCTAGCATGTGTGACACCTTGGGTTCAATCCTTAGCACCAGAAGAATAAGCAAGTGAGCAAGAGAGAGAGACACTAGACTCGCTAGCCAGCCAGCTCTCATGCTGCTGCTGACCTAGAAAAGCTGTGCCTTGACTGGGATTTGAGAAAGGGGTGGTGAAGAACCACAGTGGACAGACAGAACAATAGAAAAGCACATATCTGAACTCAAAATGACACCCCAAGAGGTTGACCACTGTAGGATGTTTAAAAAATCATTGGGAAAAAAAAATAAAAAATCATTGGGAAACTATTTGCAGATGACATGATCCTATACCTTAAAGACCCAAAAAACTCTACTCAGAAGCTCCTAGACACCATCAACAGCTATAGCAAGGTAGCAGGATATAAAATCAACATAGAAAAATCATTAGCATTTCTATACACTAATAATGAACAAACTGAAAAAGAATATATGAAAACAATTCCATTTACAATAGCCTCAAAAAAAAATCAAATACCAGGTGTAAACCTAACAAAGGATGTGAACAACCTCTACAAGGAAAACTATAAACTTCTGAAGAAAGAGATTGAGGAAGACTATAGAAAGTGGAGAGATCTCCCATGCTCATGGATTGGTAGAATCAACATAGTAAAAATGTCTATACTCCCAAAAGTAATCTACATGTTTAATGCAATTCCCATCAAAATTCCAATGACTTTCATTAAAGAGATTGAAAAATCTACTGTGAAATTTATATGGAAACACAAGAGGCCACGAATAGCCAAGGCAATACTCAGTCAAAAGAACAATGCTGGAGGTACCACAATACCTGACTTCAAACTATATTACAAAGCAATAACAATAAAAACAGCATGGTACTGGCACAAAAACAGACATGAAGACCAGTGGAACAGAATAGAGGACCCAGATATGAAGCCACACAACTATAACCAACTTGTCTTTGACAAAGGCACTAAAAATATACGATGGAGAAAAAGCAGCTTCTTCAACAAAAACTGCTGGGAAAACTGGTTAGCAGTCTGCAAAAAACTGAAACTAGATCCATGTATATCACCCTATACCAATATTAACTCAAAATGGATCAAGGATCTTAATATCAGACCACAAACTCTAAAGTTGATACAGGAAAGAGTAGGAAATACTCTGGAGTTAGTAGGTATAGGTAAGAACTTTCTCAACGAAACCCCAGCAGCACAGCAACTAAGAGATAGCATAGATAAATGGGACTTCATAAAACTAAAAAGCTTCTGCTCAACAAGATAAATGGTCTCTAAACTGAAGATAACACCCACAGAGTGGGAGAAAATATTTGCCAGCTACACATCAGACAAAGGACTGATAACCAGAATATATAGGGAACTTAAAAACTAAATTCTCCCAAAACTAATGAACCAATAAAGAAATGGGCAAGTGAACTAAACAGAACTTTCTCAAAAGAAGAAATTCAAATGGTCAAAAAACACATGAAAAAATGCTCACCATCTCTAGCAATAAAGGAAATGCAAATTAAAACCACACTAAGATTCCACCTCACCCCTGTTAGAATAGCCATCATCAGCAACACCACCAACAACAGGTGTTGGCGAGGATGCGGGGAAAAAGGAACCCTCTTACACTGTTGGTGGGAATGTAGACTAGTACAACCACTCTGGAAAAAAATTTGGAGGCTACTTAAAAAGCTAAACACTGATCTACCATTTGATCCAGCAATACCACTCTTGGGGATATACCCAAAAGACTGTGACACAGGTTACTCCAGAGGCACCTGCACACCCATGTTTATTGCAGCACTATTCACAATAGCCAAGTTATGGAAACAGCCAAGATGCCCCACTACTGACGAATAGATCAAGAAAATGTGGTATCTATACACAATGGAATTTTATGCAGCCATGAAGAAGAACGAAATGTTATCATTCGCTGGTAAATGGATGGAATTGGAGAACATCATTCTGAGTGAGGTTAGCCTGCCCCAAAAGACCAAAAATCGTATGTTCTCCCTCATATGTGGACATTAATCAAGGGCAACCACAACAAGGGGATTGAACTTTGATCACAAGATATATGCGAGAGCACACAAGGGAGGTCTGAGGATGAGTAAGACACCTAAAAAATTAGTTAGCATTTGTTGCCCTCAATGCAGAGAAACTAAAGCAGATACCTTAAAAGCAACTGAGGCCAATAGGAGAAGGGAACCAGGAACTAGAGAAAAGGTTAGATCAAAAAGAATTAACCTAGAAGGTAACACACATGCACAGGAAATTAATGTGAGTCAACTCCCTGTATACCTATCCTTATCTCAACTAGCAAAAACCCTTGTTCCTTCCTATTATTGGTTATACTCTCTCTTCAACAAAATTAGAAATAAGGGCAAAATAGTTTCTGCCAGGTATTGAGGGGGTGGGGGGAGAGAGGGAGGGGGCCGTGTGGGTGGTAAGGAAGGAGGTGAGGGCAGGGGGGAGAAATGATCCAAGTATTGGATGCACATATGAATAATAAAAAAAATCATTGGGAAAAAAGAACTCCTAAGGAAGTACACTGTATTTAAGTGACACAAAAGGCAATAGAAAGAGTGAAAGGAAAAGAAAAGGGATATATGGAAAATATGAAGGCAAGAAATGGCTAGAGCCCAGGCTGATTTTCTTCCCCATCACTCTGACAGTGTCAGAGACCTGGAACGAATCAGTGGTTAATAATGTTTATTTGAATAAGGAGCCAGATGCTTATTTTGTAGACAGTCTCTGAACATGTAAATAAATACCATGTCTCCTTTCAAAATGAAATACAGGACAGTCTAGCAGCATAGGCAGCTTCTGGGGGAAAGGCAGGCAGTATGATGGTCAAGCTGTCTCTGTACTCCCAATTCTGAAGGCTGTGTTCTGTCATGGGATCATGAATCTTAAGTGCCCATGTAAGAAAACAATTTATTTCTGATGATGGGGCACACAAAGCAATATCAGGGTCTGCCAGTCGTGATTTCCAAGTGCAAAGTTAACATTCGTTTCAACATTAACATGCTAGTGGCTTTTGGAGCAAATAAGAGCGCTCTCCTTCTCTCTCACACTATGAATTATGCATTGGCTTCTTGGTCCTTTGGTTCAAATCACATGTCAAAGAATAAAATCAGAATTAATGTGAACTTGAGTGCTTATTTGCACAAACAGGGGAAACCTCTATGTTGGCTGGGGCAAATTTTTTTAAAAATTAGGGAAAATATACATTCTCTTTGTTGTTTGGATGAAATTTGAATTGGATTAATTTTCTGATCCTCACTTATTATAAAAAGGGATAGCTTTATTAAGAGAAAAAGCCTCTGGAAGATGGGCTTTTCTATATTCTCACTGTAAGTATTGATATTGAAATAAGTATATTATTTCTTTTATTTTATTTTTTCATTTTTCTTTTATTATTCATATGTGCATACAAGGCTTGGTTCATTTCTCCCCCCTGCCCCCACCCCCTCCCTTACCACCCACTCCGCCCCCCCTCCCCCATCAATACCCCAGCAGAAACTATTTTGCCCTTATTTCTAATTTTGTTGTAGAGAGAGTATAAGCAATAATAGAAAGGAACAAGGGTTTTTGCTGGTTGAGATAAGGATAGCTATACAGGGCATTGACTCACATTGATTTCCTGTGCGTGGGTGTTACCTTCTAGGTTAATTCTTTTTGATCTAACCTTTTCTCTAGTACCTGTTTCCCTTTTCCTATTGGCCTCAGTTGCTTTAAGGTATCTGCTTTAGTTTCTCTGCGTTAAGGGCAACAAATGCTAGCTAGTTTTTTAGGTGTCTTACCTATCCTCACCCCTCCCTTGTGTGCTCTCGCTTTTATCATGTGCTCACAGTCCAATCCCCTTGTTGTGTTTGCCCTTGATTAATGTCCACATATGAGGGAGAACATACGATTTTTGGTTTTTTGAGCCAGGCTAACCTCACTCAGAATGATGTTCTCCAATTCCATCCATTTACCAGCGAATGATAACATTTCGTTCTTCTTCATGGCTGCATAAAATTCCATTGTGTATAGATACCACATTTTCTTAATCCATTCGTCAGTGCTGGGGCATCTTGGCTGTTTCCATAACTTGGCTATTGTGAATAGTGCCGCAATAAACATGGATGTGCAGGTGCCTCTGGAATAACAGTCTTTTGGGTATATCCCCAAGAGTGGTATTGCTGGATCAAATGGTAGATCAGTGTTTAGCTTTTTAAGTAGCCTCCAAATTTTTTTCCAGAGTGGTTGTACTAGTCTACATTCCCACCAACAGTGTAAGAGGGTTCCTTTTTCCCCGCATCCTCGCCAACACCTGTTGTTGGTGGTGTTGCTGATGATGGCTATTCTAACAGGGGTGAGGTGACATTATTTCTTTTAAATGTGTAAGGTTCATCATTGTGTTTATAGCCTAACTATGTCTCCTAATTCTTTTTTTTTTTTTTTTGATGGTCCTGGAGTTCATGCTCTACTATTTGAACCATGCTCCAAGGACTTTTTGCTTTAGTTATTTTCAGGATAGGGTTTCACGTTATTTTTATGATAGGGTCTCACATTTTCTCCTGGGCCAGCATGGACTGAGATCCTCCTATTTATACCCCCCATGAAGCTGGGATGGCACATGCCACTGTATCCAGTTTATTGGTTGAGATGGGGTTTCACTAACTTTTTATCTGGGTTGGCCTTGAACCATAATTCTCCTACTCTCTGCCTCCTAAGTAGCTTGGATTATAAGTATGAATCACTGTGTCTGACGTATAAGTTTCCTAATTTTGTAAGTACTTCTGATTCCCTAGAATAAAGGGGTATCCAACATGCTAAAGAGTGAGGTCTTTCCTGTTTGTATTTTAAAACTACATGTATGGATCTGAGCCACTATAGGCATGACAGCAGAGATTCCAAGAGCAGAGATCCAGAAGCCCCAGCGAAGATACGGTGGGATCCATGTGGGATGGATGGCCTTCTATTTTCTCTGCCATCATCTCTATTGCTCTGTTAGAGAAATGTGTACACCACCATGAAGTCCAAGAGAAAAACAGCTGGCAACATTGGCTCCCATCCCCTACCTTGACAGATGGGCAGGTTATCCCACATCCCATCATCACGACATAATGAAACTATGTTGTACAGGTCAGGGTACCGGATCTTGAATCCTTCATGACAGGTGATGATCAATTTATCTCCATGCCTGTACGTCTTGTTATGAATCTCAGCATCTTCGATTTGAGGGATACGGCAATCTGAAATTTTGTAAAAGTTATACATTACTTCTGGAATTTACAATAATTAACAGCTTCACAAGAAAGCCAGTATTTTCAGACCTTGCCTCAATCTACACAACAGTCTGATACATGGTATCTTGCTTGTCACTAGGCTCAGGTTCCAACAGTAAGCATCACAGCCTCCTTCACAGGAGTGACAGGGAGAGTCAGCTCAGAAAAGAGAGACCCAGCTTATAGAGACCCATTCACAAAAGAAATTTTATTTCTTGCCTGTGACACTTTATACTGTACAATTGATCTTATGAATGATTTTGGAAATAAATGAAGAAAGACAAGAGTTGGGGGTTAACCTGAACTATCTGGTTATACATGTTGCTGTGTTTGTGGACAGAACATAACACAATGTAGCCTGTCAGTCTGGCCCCTGCAACCACCCAGGCATGCCACCCTCAGTCTGTTTGCACACAAACATGGTGTGCAAAACAGCATGGGGTCAAGTTGTGGCTGCATTTGCCATGAGCATCTCCTGTCTATCTTAGGCATTTTTAAAAAGATAATAGAGCAGCACGTGGTCTTGCAGACCTGACAATGGCTCAGGAGCTGCTCGCACTGCCTCCTAAAAGTGGAGTAGAGCAGATCACACGTGCTCAGGAGGAGAGATGAGCAAGGCTGGGCGGTCAGGGGAAGGCTGAGGAGGAGCAAGGAGTCCATGCAGCAATAGGATAAAAGCTAAACTAAAATGAGCAGATGTTAACTGTCCACTTCTAACTGTGTCTACTTCTAATTTACTGTGTGGGCCACTTGCTGCCAGGATGGGGTCCTGTTCCTCTTGTCCCCACCCACCTAGAACATTAAGTCACACTGATCCAAACACGTCTCTCTTTATCTCTTACGGGCACATCTCTGTTTAATGTTTCTGATTTTATGCAAATTTTTGTTTTGCTTTTGTTTTATAGGTTTTGTTTTTTCATTGATGGATATCTAATCCAGGGCCTTAAGCATGTTAAGCAAGTGCTCTACCATTGAGCTACACCCCCAGCACTGCAAATGTTTCTCATTTTAGATGCATGAGTTTGGAAGTATGACCTATAGAAGGGTTATGCTCCAAACTAAATTTTTCAAAACAAGGCAAAAATCCAAGGACAACACTTTGTCAATCATAGAAACTTCTCCAGAAATTCCTCAGTGCTTCAAAAGATGGTTAGCTTCTCAGCCACATTCTTCATAGCCCACTGAATGCACAGTACAGTTGGAATAGCATTACCAGGAGTCCTGGCCTTCAAGTTGCTTTAAGCTTTGAACTGTCAGCTCTAAGGTGCTGGGAGCCCTCTAAGAGGTGGAAAGGAAGGAGGAAGGAGTGGCTGGCTGGGTAGGTGGCTCTGATCTGGTGGCTGCAAACTTTGGTGGTTTACTGGGAGTAGCGAGAAATCTGACGCAACTGGCTCCAGAAAATAGGACATCAGCGGTGGGAAAGACTCAGGCAGAAGGGGGGCCTTCCTGTGTGTGGTGGGCCTGGCAGCTGGGGAGTGAAGGGGTGGTAGCCATTCACAGTACACGTCATCTGAAGTCAAATGCGTGTACGCACTTTTATCTCAGCCTTTGTCACCACCATAAGCTTTCGAGTAGGACCTGTGTCAACCACTTCCTCTGACATTACTTTTCTGTTTCCAGACCTGTGCATGCACCTGGCAAAGGAGAAATGCAGAGGGGGCTATCTGAACCTATGTTCGAGAACCCTGAGTACACCTAGTCCTCAGGAGCCTGGTTAACTGGATTTCTGCACAGCTGGCCCCTCTGCCTTCCCCCAAGGAAACCTATCATCAGGCTGCCCAATAGCCCCTGAATTTCCATGTAGTGTCTTGGCTGGAGAACTGTGCTCTGGTTTCATTTTTGTGCATCAGGCTTAGAAAGGGGTTTTCCAAGTGTTCATATTCAACCAACAATTTTTCCATTAAAAGTAGCTGAATTCCTCCCAAATCATTCCCAGAATAATGCTGACTGAAGTCACAAGACAACTGACAACTTTTTGCATGCTACTGCTGTCTTTTTCTTAATGGAAAATGTGAATTATGTTTTTTCAATGGCACTATGAAGAAATTATTCACAGCAAATAAAAACACATTTATCAAAGCATCTGTGTGTAAAATCTTAGCTGTAAATAGCTCCTGTGGTGGTACTTTTTATGTCTAAATTTACTATTTTCATGATGAACTTGAAATTTGCTGAAGAATTAACTGGCATAGTCAGGAGGTGGCCAGCTTTAAGAGTAAAGTCAATGGAGAGAATGTCCACCTGGGCCTTGGAGACATGTGAACACTGGCTGGCCGGAGCAGAAACACCCATGCCTTGCTCTCAAGGCTGATTTCTCAGCCTATGGTGTTTAATGCAGAATACTTTGAACTTCCAGTTAGGATTCCAAGTTTCTACAAGTAGGAGTTGGGTCTATAGTACAAAATATGACATAGAGTTTCAAAAGGGGTCTCAGCCTGCCAAATTCCAGTAAATGTATACTCTGTTCAGAGGAGTCTTCATGGGCAATGACACAGAGCCAACTCACTATGTGGAGTAACCACATGTCAAATGGGAAGTAAGAAGTTAGAGTTAAAGTCCCATCAAGGTAGAGAAGCTAAGAGGGGCTGTGCCCTAGGAGTAAGGGAAACACTAAAATAGATTGGCTCAAACAAACAAGCTAAATAGAAGAAAAGACCATCCAGTCTCTCCAAGTTTTCATGCCCAATGTTTTACATCTTCTCCCCCAGCTGAAGATCAAGAGAAGATGGCATTTGGATGAGTATGTACCCCAAAGATCTGTCTGTGACAGTGAGTAACAGTAACCATGAACCTTATTTCTATGGAAAACAAAAGAATGCAAGACCTTTAGTCTCTGAAAATAAATGTGAACTCTTCATCAAGGCTGAAGTTTCACACAGAAACACCAACACTCCTTGACTTATGACAAGGTTATATCCAGATAAACCCATTGTAAGCTGAAAACACTGTAAGTTGAAATGTATAAATATAACTAACCTACTGAACATCCTAACTCAGCAGCATAGTACTCATGATCTTGTGGCTGAGAGGAGTTATGGCTTGCTGCCACTGCCCAGCATTGAAAGAATGTATTGAATTCCATATTACCAGCTCAGTTAAAAACATAAGTCAAAATGTGAAGTATGGTTTCTCTGAATGTGTATTGCTTTCAAATCATTGTAAAGTTGAGAGATCATAAGTTGGAGACTGTTTGTAACACAATTTTCTATAGCAAAAATTCATATAGTCAGAGATGATTTTTCAAAGTCACTTCAAGCATATTATTACCAAGGACTATAAAAAGTATTTATTGTTCTCTGATTCTGTCATGTAGAATCTGGTCAACAATTAGAATTTAGATACATGAGACATAAGTGGGCACTTTCAGGGTATGCCTGAGAGATATCAAAGGCTTCTATTCTGGAAGTTATTTTTCATGAGCACACCACTGTCATTATTTTTGTACCTTGCTCCTAGTGACAATGGGGATTCAGTATAATGAATACATAAAAGGAGCAAAAGATCCTAAGGCAGTATTACACAGTTACATCTAAGTGCAAATTAATATATTAAATTAGTTAGCACAGAGCAAAGTCCTAGGGGATGGAGCAAGCAGAGTAAGAGTAAAAGAAATTTTCAAGGATTCGGTGCCACACATTTGGCTTTACTTTTCTTTAAAATGTTAGTTAAATGTGAAAATGAATTTGATTTCTTAAAAATGCTACATGTCAACATCAGTATTCCCCAAAACTGGTCCTAGGAATGTAAATATAACACTCAGAGTTCAACAATCCACATTAATATATTAAAAGCTCTAAAAGTTCTGGCTGAAAGGAATTTGACTTAATTTCACTTAAGCCAGCCTTCGTAAAGCTTATTTATCATCCAGCTATTCTAATTTATCCATTCAGTGAATTATTCAGCACTTATGTATGGCTGAGTATGTTCTAGGTTGTTGGAGATAGTCAAGATTCCTACTCTTATAGTACTTGCACAGAGGGAACCTGCTACCAGAAAAATTAAGAGATAAATGAACTAGAAAATAACACGCAGTGCTCACCGCAATGATGAACACATAACAAGGTGATAAGATAGGGATTGACTTGGGGACTCATTTAATTTGGGCAGACAGGAAAGGGGCCTCTGAGGAAATGACATTTATTGAGCTGAGACCTGAATGGCAACAAGGATCTAATTATGTGCAGATCTGGGAAAAGAAAATTTCGGGCAGCAGAACAGCTGGTGCAAAGGCCAGGAAAGCACTTGGTGTCCTGTGAAACACAAAAGATCCATGTATTTGAAATACAGTGACCAAGACAGGGAGGAAAGGCCAGATTGTGTCAGGCTGGTAGATGATGGCAGGGAGTTGGGATTTTATTTAGTATGATGGGAGATACTACATCTTAAGCATGGGTTGTGGAAGGATTTGACCTAAATCTTCAAAGAGTTGTCATATGTACACTGGAGGATTAACCTTGCCTAATGAATATTGTGGTCTTTGCCTTCAGCTCCTGGGAGCTAACCTCTAAGCCCTTGTAATGTCCTTCCTGAGATGAGTGTCTTTGCTTACCTGGTGGCTTTGGGCCATGCTACATTCTATATCAACAGTGTGGTTTGGGTTGAGGGACCTTGTGCTACATCATATCAGTTCAGTTCCTGCAAGGACTGGAGACTAAGGTCAACCATACAGTAGTCAACCATATCCACATGACTTAGCTCCAATAAAACTGTACACCAAAGCTTCAGTGAGCCTCTTCAATATTCTGTGTACACTATCATGCACTTTTGCTTAAAGAAACAGGCATTGTCCGCACAGCTCACTGGGAGAGGACACATGGAAGCTCATGTCTGGTGACTCCCGGACCCTGCCCTGTGTACCTTGTCTGTTGGCTGATTTTAACTTGTGTTTTTTCATTGTCACAAGCTTCATTATGTGTATAATGGTTTTCCTGAGTTCTGAGTCTTTTGGAGTTACTGAACCTGAGGGT